TGTCCTTATTCTTTAATATATATGCACCTGCAGCACAGTGTAACGTTACCCCCGGCTCAGGCCATCTCCATCTCCACCTAGCTCCATACCCATCAAAAGGAAACAAAAAATAAGGAAAGAAAAATAAATACGAGACCTCGTACCACTTCCCGGCCTGGGAAGTTCAAAATAGATATCTCCCCCGACCTCCGGCACTGGCGCTACTCCCATGAGGCGGGAGATCAGCATGTTCCGGGGATTTGGATAGGCCTGAGATCGGCAAAGAAATTGAAAAGCAGACATGGACAGGATGGGAAGGAGCTAGAGGTGAAGCTTAATCTTAAGGTTCTGGCTTAAGTCTGGGTTATGTTTTTTTTTTCCCTGGCCGCTCTTCCCACCCTTCCTCTCTTTTCTCTCCCTTCTTCCTTCTTCTTGAATTTCTTTGCTTGCGTTTCTATGGGTTGTATTTTTTTTGTCTTCTTTCTCTTCGCACTTCGATCCAGAGTACTTGCACGTTGAGTGCTTCCGTCATAGGCACTCATACTCGACCTGACTGACTGACAGCTCCAAGCCCCCCGCCGTGGCACTGCAACGATATTCAACTCCGAATATACTAACAAGTTCTCCATGGCCAGCCAACCTGAATATGCTCCATTCTCCTTCTGGATTGGTCTGCGTTTCGATTCGAACCGTTCAAACCCACCATTGAGCTCTTTCAACAATTCCACCAAGTTTTCCGGCGTGGCCAAAAGTTCCAATACACACTCCGAGCACACACTTGGTGCTTTTTCAAAACCGGAGCACTACTATAGCTGTCAACAACTCGATTCACGGTATAAACAATCTCACCTACTCCATCGACACCATCCCGCAACAAGTGAGCCCGCCCTCCTTACTTCCCTCCAAAGCCGGAGCTAGATGTGAGCAAAAACACCGAAGAACTTGGATTCATCCCACCAGCACCCGCCGAATCCTGACCCATACCCAGACCACGTACACCAGATTTAACCAATCCCGACACTGATTATCCGCAACGATATCAGCTCTATCGTCTCGTGATGAATGGGGATAATATTCAGCGCACCGCAAGCAAGAGAAAGAAAGAAGGACAAGAGGCCATAGCTGATCCAACCAAAAAAATGACAGCAAGACAGGACAACAAACCCTCTTTCCAGGCTGCGCCGATCCGTATATGAGCGCTAGCAGCCATGCAACGACTATTCCAACAATCAGTACTGACAGAACACGCACCCGGCATCATTTATACCCACGTTACTTGGATGGCTAGCTTTGTGTCGCGTCTCCGGGCCGGTCCCGGTAGGTGCTGGTGGCACTAGTGTCGGGTTACAGGTTGCGGGTACTGGGGGTACTGCGGGTGCGGGTGCGGGTGCGGCTGCCGGTCGGATTAGCTAGCGTCGGAGTACGGATACATCATGTCGGACGTCAAATACCGAAAGCTCTAGATATGTACCTGCGCCATCATCACACAGCCAAGCACCAATCGTTCCAATCCACCAATCGTCAAAGGTTTCAAAACATCCCATCATCACCAGATATCACTCACCCCTACCCAGGCACAAGATTGATTATTTTTGACGCTCTAATTTCCATTAATTATATACAAGAAGCGTTCCCAAAGCCCCTCCCCTTCTCTTCTACTACTCCTCCGCGCACCGCCAACAACCACAGCGAAATTTTCAAACCAAAAAAAGAAAGCCATAAGGAGACCAGAACAAACCCAATTATACACAAATGCACCATAACTACCCAGTAATCCAAGCCCTGACCGTTTATCAAAAGGAACAAAAACAGAAAAAGAAAGAAGAATCCAGGAGAGAAAAAAAGGAATTAAAGGGGGACAAAGGGGGCGGTGAAAGAATTGTTTGAGTCTCTAATCGAAGCGTCTAATGATCTTCTGGCGCTTCTGGCGCTTTCCGGAGGCTGCGTGGTCGCGGAGGATACCGTCGGCGACGACGTCGGCGATGAGATATGCAGACACTTGCGGGTGGTTGCTAATGGGGATGTTAGTATGTGATTGATAGTTCAGCATAATGCAAGGGGAAAGAAAGGAGACTTACTTCATGACGACGGGGATAACGCTAGTATCAGCAACCCTCAGTCCATCAACACCGACAACACGGCCCTTGGAGTCGACAACCCTCATCTTGTCACCAGCCTTGCCCATCCTGAGGGTTCCCATGCCGTGGTACCCCTGGTCGAGACCCTTGTTCCTCAACCAGTGCTCGATGCCCTTGTCTGTCATCTCGATGCCGTTGACATAGAAGCCGCCGTTCTGCTCCGCCTTGAGGCGGTTTTCCTCTGCCTTCTCGGGTGTGTCCTGGATCCAGGCCGGGTCCTCGGCACAGCCCTTGAACTCCATGCCGACAAAGTGAGCGGAGAGAGCCTTGGTCTTGAAGATCTCGACGGCCTTCTTGATTGTCTCGACACTGATGCGGACGTCGTAGGGGTGCGAGAAGTACTGCGGGTCGATGACGGGGGCGTCGGACGGGTCGGACGAGTTGAGGCTGATTGTTCCGCGTGCGAGATGGTTCTGTTGCAGGAGAAAGAGGCGGGCGTACGAGTTTGGCGAGGTGCCTTCAGGGAAGTCCTTTCCGGGAGGCTTGTAGCCGATGAGGTAGAAGATCTCGGTGTCGGGACGGCCCTTGTCAAGGAAGCGGGTGCGGTCCTCGTCGGAGAGGGCCTGCCATTCGGGCCATTGATCGCGCTCTTCCTCGCTGAACTTGATGAAGGCAACTCCAGCGGAGGCTCCGAATCGGGCCATCTCGCCGCGAGCTTCACCTTTGCCATTTTGGTAGGTATCGAGCCAGAGCTTCTTCTCGGCCTCAACGCGGGCGGGCTCAGAGAAGAGAAGGTTTCCGGTGGGGACTTGGAGATCCTGCTTGAAGATGGGATCGAGGAGGACGGTGGTGTGGTCGAGCATGTTCTTTCCGACATTGGGAGAGTCGTGGACAACTTTGATTCCAAGTTCCTGGAGATCGGCCTTGGGTCCAATACCGCTGAGGAGAAGGAGCTTTGGAGAGTCGATAAATCCCGCGGAAATGATAACCTCCTTCTTGGCAAAGACTAACACACTAAAATTAGAATAATCTGTAGGGAGCAAAACTGAAAATAATGATAGGACTTACACTTGCGGCCTCCTTCGACCTGGACACCAATGGCAGTCTTGTGGTCGAAAAGGATCTTCTCGACCTTGGTATCAGTTCTGACCTCGAGGTTTCTTGGGCGGGTCAGACCACTGCCGATATCGCCCTCCTCATTGAGACACTGGGTAGCTGACGAGACACGGGCACCCTTGTAGATTGCCATATTGACCAATCCAGCACCAATGTTCTGGCCGCAGTTTGTGTCCAAGGTTCTAGGAATACCGGCTTCAACACAGCCGTCGATGAAGGAACCCATACCCGGGAGTGGGTTCTTTGGGAGAGTGTTGTGGATGGGCCCCATTGTACCATGGTTGGACATGTCCGGGGAGGCATATTTCTCGTAGGCCTTTGGCAAGCCCTTGGGATCAAACGATTCCAACTACAACAGTGGCGCATTAGTACAGTTTCATTCGCGTAAACAACAACACAAGGAGCTACAAACCCTCTTGATCCTCTCCCAGCCCTCGTTACTCCCATAGTTCTGGTCGCCGGCAATCTCCGCCCACTCGTCGAAATCGCCCTTGTAGCCCTTGATCCAGGCCATATAGTTGAGGTTGCTGGTTCCGCCGAGGCCACGGCCTCTGTGGTACACCAGCACGCGGTCATCTAGGTGCTTCTGCGGAACAGTCTTATACATATAGTTTGTGTCCGGCCTGGCCACATTCTCGGCGAAATTACCGGGAATGAGAGACTTCAGGTTCGGGTTGTCGGCTGGGTTGTTGGTGTTGTTGCTCAGGGTGTTCGGCCCGTTCTCCAGGAGGAGCACGGAGGGCGCATATGGCGAGGTGGCGAGCTTGTGTGCAAGGTAGCCTCCGGCGGTACCGGCTGTTGGCTGTTAGATTATACGGATCCAATGGGATGAGAGAGAAAGAGAGCAACGGAACTTACCCCCGACGACAATGAAGTCATAAGATTCGGAATAAGCGGCGCTGAGGTGGATGTTCATGGTAGCGATCAATGCGCTGAGGAAATAGCCTGGGGACTTCATCGTGGGAAGAAATAAGAAAAAGCAAATATCAGATCAGTCAGGATCCACCAATCAAAAGACCGCTGCAGGAACACAGGCAGGTACGAGGAAAAGCAAGAAAGTGGTGAGAAGTGAAGAATGAAAAACCTTGAATGGACCGAGGGGGGGAGAGCTCTTTTAAAAGCGAGTGAGTGGGGTAAGTAAAGAAAGTGCAGATAATTGAAAAGAATACATCTTGATACCGACGGTGATCAGATGGGACGGATGGACGGATCCATCAGTGAGGGGTAGGTAGTAGGTATCGAGGGATGAGGATGAACAGCTCAAAGCTGCATTTGCAGCGATGAAGCTACACCAAAGGAGCGAATAGAACAAAGAGATAATACAAAATCCATCTGAAACCCGCAGCAGCAGCGTACAGCGGCGACCGGATGAACATTGCAAATACCATAAATTCCTTCTGGACGAGAGAAATGAAAAAAAAAAAAAAAAAGTGACCAGCTCATACTTACAGTCGGGGTTTAGCTACTAGCTAGCTAGCAAAGATACCTAGCGCAAGCAAGCCAGTTGATCGTAATGGTATGCTATGTGGTATGCTATGCTATCCCACTTCTTTCTTTCACTTCCGTAAACAGTCAAATACGTAATCACCTAAGCTGTAGACGCCCACAGCAGCACTGCTTGCTTCTATGGTATTGAAAATAGAAATGGTAGCGCGCGATAACGATAAGTGAAGTTCGAATTCTAGACCTCTCAATGTTCCACCGAAAAGGTCTCTCATGCGGCGAGAAACAAGTATCTCGTCTCAATCAATCAATCAAAACGATTCGAAATTCAAAGGTGTTGTCCACGGCCTGAAACATATGATGACTGGTCAAAAAAAAAGGCCCTCAAGATCTATGATCGATATGCCTAAAGCAGCAGATTACTGATCAGCTGCAGTGTCCATTTCATAAATCCGGGGAAGGAATTGGTCTCATGAGGCACAAGCGGGCTGGGCAAGGTCAGGGAAGTAGCTTGCTGATTCGATCAACGCAAGGTACTCTAGTGATCCCAGGCGGTGGGTTTTCTCTCTTAGCTACATACATACCTGCGAGAAGTTTTGGATCGGGACAGTTGCAGCGCGAGAAAAAAACGCACACCCAATGTTTTGCTTTTATTTCTATTTTGGCGGGCTCGCCAGGTTGTTAATGCCTGTTGTGGGTGATGATGAGGCCGGCGAGGCCGGGGGGATAGGTCTCCGTGGTATCGTTCGTCGTGGGGCAATGAAGCGCAGGTGGACAAGCGCAGTAGTCTAGGTATGCACTTCGTAGATAGAGGAAGATTCGTGCCTTCTGGTCAGAGGTTTGTCAGTTCTTTAGGAACGTAGAAGCTAGTAGGCTCTCTTGATATTTTTCCCCTTCAAACACGTTCAAGATTCTCTCCTCGGAACCAACATCTAAATCCAAGATTCAAAGGGGCCGTTTATGTACCCTCGACAGAGCGTCCAAACTTACTCGAGGGGGAATCAGTATCAAAAAAAAAAGTTCTTCAGAGTGAATTCCAAGACACCAATCCTAGCAAATAAAGACCGTGCTGAATACTGTTTTTGCGAGGTCCTCTTATTCCCCCACCCCCGCGGGAAACCTTGGTAACTTCCTCGTGTGGCTTTGATTCACTTTGGTGTTTTGCGATCAGTTCCTCCTAGCCCGCAACTAGCAAAAGAAAGGTGAAAAAAAACACGAGGCTTGTGTCCAAGCGTTCCGTAGGATTGATGATATCGACCCTGTCGTACCCTCCCCCACCCCCCTCTCTTATTCCTCCTGACTTGGATTTGGGACGAAGACCGTGATTATTGAGCAACCCCGACAAGAACCTTGAGCAAGTAAGGCAGGGGATAGAGAGGCTTTTTGTAAGATCTCAGGCCCTCCAGAGGAGCTAAAGAAATTTCTTAGATAAAGTTGACCAGTATTTTATCACTTGGTGCAAATCCTGTCAGCTGCGGAGGCCACTCGTCCTTGACGATAGACCGATCCCACAGTAGGCTGTTGAAGCTAGAGAGGCATATATCTCTCTCCGTTATACATCCAGTTTACATGTGGCCTACACAATTTTGGAACCTAAGAAAGGAGAGGAATGATGGTAACATCCGATCTGGAGAAATCCGTTAGCCATGTCCAGCGCGGAGCATGCTGGCCTGCGAGGGGGAAGGCCTAAAAAGGAAGACATCGTAAGAGAACCGTGTAGAGTAGTGTACATACGAGCACGTCAGATGTCAATCAAGTGGATGGGGTTGGCTGAGACATACCTACCAGTGTAGAGTACCCGTGCCCATGGAGTAGTTACTCTACCAATAGACAATAGGAACTGCGGTACCCTATTCATTGTACGTCCCCTCCTTCCACCCCCTCCCAATTAATGGCACGGACTTCCCAGGCACCCGGTACATTGCAACAAATAATTAAAAACAATACGTTTCCTCATCCCTGCCCCGCCTACTCCCGTACCAACGAAATGCTCCTAGTCCAACAAATAGTAGATGTCTACTACTCCATGTGTCTAAAGCTCTTTGCATGATTTCAAAAGTGTTCGCATTAAGTGAATTTTGCACTTTTCTATGCAGGTTCACATATGACTTTCACCCCTGAAGATTGGTCTGTCGGCTCCGCAAGCAGCTGCCTTTATCTCACATCTCGCACTCCGCACTTCTCCATCTGTCAAGCTGCCAATAATAGCGGTCCATTTCAGAAGTTGTCCAGATCGGGAACAAATAAGTACGGCGCTAACACTGAAAGTATTTAGTGTGTGTTGAATACTTTACCCTACTTACTCAACTCCCCGCCCTGAGTCTCTCACAACCCACGACACCCACTTCCACGTTCATGCCCGGTAATATTTTGCCTGTTATCATGAAAGATATACCTAGTAGGTACTCTACTCACATATTCTAGGCAGGTAGGTACGCCAAAGTATTTTCTTTTTTTTTTCGCCTACTAGAATGGAATTTGATTCGTGAATAAAATCGAGCCCTGACACATCGGCGAATAAAGCATCATTCTTTCCTGCAGGCGGAAAGGCTCCGGTTATGAGCTCCTCCGAGAAACGGTTCTTATTAGTTACCCACACCACATATGCATACATGAGTATATGTACATGTATGTATGATCGTTTCCTTTTTGGGACTACTTTTTTATTTTTGGGAGTAGGTACTCTATCATAAGGCAGAGTCGAGGAGACTAGTCCTAGGAAGTAGGTAGGGCAAGTGCAGGAAATACCTAGAGGGACCAAAACGTATGATTTCACTCAACTCAATAGCAGCAAATAAGTACCCTCTGGCCATGGAGTAGCTCGTAGGTCGTAAGACTACTCTCTAGAGTAGCGTTAACGTCCCCATCTCAAGTGTTGATGACTAGGGAGATTATGTTGATAAAAGAGAGACTCGAAGCGGGTGTCTGCAGACTTACAGCTGGCCAACTCTCGCGTGGGTACGTATGCAGATGCTCCCCCTCTTCTCGGTTCCCAGCCCATTTCTCATCCCATCCATCCCAATCTCTCAATGAGCATCCCATGTAGGTACATACATACTCTACACACATACATACATACATACATATACCCAAGTAGAGTAAAGTACTCTAGATGCCCTGAAGTAAAAAAAAAAAACCACGTTGTTAAGAACCTCGATTGAACCAAAGACGCTCCGTTGGTGCGTGATATTCAGTCACATCGGTACTAGTAGATCAGTAGGCAATTATGCATCATTAGGGAAATGACCCCACTTAACCTTGAGTAGATATCTGTGCCGCAGCACTGCAGGGGTCAATGCCACCTTCCACCCCAACCCACTTCTTAACATCTCAGACGATCACTCGGATTCATTCCCAACGTCATTTATTCTAATACTCTTGGGCACATGGCCGAACACTGCCACTGGCGGACAACGGATTTGACAACGGATTCGACAATGAGCTTCCCGATGGACTGATTGACACCCCTGTCTAAGACCTCGCCGGCATTATCAGACCGCTAGATAGACTAAATGTATCCAGTTTATTATAGCGTTTCCACCCTATAGCACTTGATGAGATAGGTACATACTTTCTCGATCTCCTGAGGCATGTGCCTATGTAGGTAGAAAAAAGGTCAAGCCATGTCGGTATGGATAGCATCCGGACGTCCGTACAATACCTGATTTCCCAGCGGATTCTGGCGATGGTATATACCTATTTCGACTTTACCTCGACTCCGCGTTGGCCCATCCTAATTATTTCCACCATGAGTGGATGCGGCGGCCCAGAGATATCAAAGCTTTCGACAAACTTGCTAAATGGTTGGATGTAGGTATGTTACCGCAACCGGTTTTAAGACTGAAGTACAGCCGCCGGCGGGTAGAGACAGCACATGGTTGGGCTTCTCTATGAGTGGTAGCGTAATGATATAGCCAGATTTGACTGGCATGCCTTAACACGTCGCATTATAATAGCCCGATATAGTTAGATGAAGAAACGATTTTTAAATATCTGGATGTAAAACTTAGGAAGAACAAATCTTCATCATCGATATGGTCTACTAGCAGCACCAGCGGGGTGCCTTGTTTGAAAACCTCAAGAGATATCAAGACCTATTGTAGTTCGAGGATAATCCGCCTAACAATGCTTGAAGTAAGGTCGTCTCTAACATATATAGCTGGCGCGTCAATCGCTGTTCGCGGATATTGGGGGAGCGGTCGCTTGATTCTACCGTCTTGGGATTCTAGGCCACGATTAGCGAGGGTCCCCCTCAATTGCGAATGTCAATTGCTGCTCTAAAGATCCTTTTATGGCCCGAATTTAGACTAGGCGGGTGTCTCATCAGCCTCAGCGCAAAGCACTTGCCTACGCCACTTCCTTACTCTATGCGCCCAAGAACCTGGATTACTCAACTCTCGCCGCTTCCGCTTATCGGAGATCATTAGCTTCCTGGAATATAAAGTGCATGAAGGTGGCGTGGATTATCGGGTCATTCCCTACCAACTCGTCCTCTACTCTACAGTCCAGTCGCAACTCGATATGCCGGATTGCCAAGATTCTGATAATTCCATATACGGGATAGTAAATTTTCATTGTAGAGCTAGAGTAGTAATTGTAGAGCTAGAGTAGTAAGAAAATAAAATTCCCAGACGATAGTACGGGACAGTAAGGTACCCGGGGTATTGGGTTCCGGCCGGCATATTGAGTTGCGACTGCAGGATAGTTAGGCGCCATCCAATCACATGAACAAGTCAAACCAAACAAACCAAACAACCCAAATAACCCTTCTCCTCAACCCTCACACTGCACAGCGGATCCCATGACAACCCCTCCGTTCCCGGTGTGAAAACTTTCAGCGTCAGCTCTAGGCAATGTCGGTATAATATAGCTATATCATAGTAAGCTAGGATTGAGTCTCATACCTGATGCATGTATCTCGTTCATAACAAAGATACGCGGTACATCTTAATCGTCCCTCAGGTAAGTATTGATTGTCATAACTTAATTAGATTATGTACTTCGAGCAGTTTGAGGTTTTTAAGGGCGGGTTTCTCCTCAAGATATATGTACACCGATTCTTTCACATGCATGTAGTAATAGTGTCAGTCACATGCCTGAAGCACTCTTTGGGCCGAAGATATATACCTTCAAGCTTTCCAGTAAAATAGCCCCCACAAAATAAACTTTTGAATTCTAAATGACTTACCTTCGAGCAAAGACAACATTTCCGTATAAAGCAATGTTTCCGGACGTTTTGATCAGGCTGCGGATTGTATGATCGTTTTTCAGAGACATGCACAATCCAACAAATATGAGGGAATTGTGTAGCCCATGTATGAAAGAATTGGATCCAGTAGAGGTATGTTACACCAACAATTTATATATATTATACTTAGTAAATACTTCTCTCGCTCGATATATGTTCCCATATGAAGTTGATAGAGGTCTTGGCATTTTCTTACTACTTTTACCCATTCAACATTCACTATATAAGGCATAATGATACCCTTTGGGAAGAATTTGGACTCTATTCTGGTCGTGTCCCGCATATTTGTAAGAATTAATTCAGCGAGACCTAGAGTTGAATTAGTACTTGTTTCCTATAAGAACTAAACCCTAGGGTACTTTAAAGATGGGATGCACACAGGCACTATCAGAGAAAATAAGGGACTTAAGTGGTGGGGAGGAAGAACGAATTTTGATATCCAAGTCATGCCACATTTGGCAGCAAAATCTTTGTAAGCTTATAAGAGCTGATGATTTGCCCTGTTCGAGGCTCCGAGGCGATCAAGTACCTACTTCCGAAACATCTCCGTGCGTAGAACCGCGTACCCCTATATTTCTGTTCTTTCTCCGAAAGACATTATGTACTCCAGAAGGACTCACCTTTCTGTTTCGTCTGTGTAATTGATACCACGGTTTGTGTAACACGGTTGGCCAAGTCTCTCCCATGGCTTAAGGTGTGGGACAAGTCGCCAGAGTAGCTGTCCGACCTCCTGAAATTGAGACCGAGCGTCGACTTCGACCTGAACCAGTTCTTGCTCCATGTCAAATGTTCCATGTACGGCTGTCACAGTTGCCAAAAATGATTGCTTGTTGAGGAACAAGGGGTTGAATAACTAAGAATATTCAACATATAAATTAATATTCCTGGATTTGCCAAATTCCATTGGTCCATATTTCTGTTCGTTAACATGATCCCAGTTCTGTTTACCATCATCAGTTTGGGTGATACCTTGTGACTCGGGCCGTTGAAATTCTTGTTTTTCATCCGCCAATCGTTCTTTCACACGCTACCGTTTCGATAGCTGGCTTTAATTTCCCAGCAAAGTACGGCAGCACTACTCGGATCTTTCCATTGATTTCCGCGGGTATCCCGGTATTGGTCCGATTATGTTTCACCGATCTAACAGAATTCTATGATAACGTTGCGGCTAGATTCGGTAATTGTGCTCGTTTAAAGACAAGGGGAGTTTATGTACGCACGGTCTCTCAAGTGCAAATAACGCAAATCACGAACCATTGTTCTCACTTTTATGGAACATGCCCTTCGATACGATTCCATCGTTTTTCGAGCACGTAGGCAATATGTATGCATATCACGCTTGCAACTTCTCAATTGTTCTCTCCTCTAATTGCACTTTTACATATTTTTTTGGTTCCCTGGTTATTCTGTTTAAAGCCAAGCATTCGCTGTCACATAGGCCTCTATTCAAGGTCACGGTCTTTATTGTCGGTTTCGGATTTACTTATTACCGGCATAGTGGTGTAATTACTAGAGCTTGGACTATGTTAGCTCATGATTCAGCAGAAAGCGGGAGTGGCTTGCAAACTTGTTTACCTAGATATGGACAGGTAATTCAACATCCCCAGAGGGATTGTGCTACCCACAGAGATTCGATTCTATTGGTGCCTAAGCCGTTACTTATTAATAAGATCCGTTATGGAAGGGAAATAGTATAGTAAACCGTTCGGGACCACTGCGATGACTCCTAGGCTTATCAGTATGCTTTAATATTTTAACGTCCCGCATGCGCCAACTGATAGAAAATATACCGCGGCTTTACCATAAGTTCCACTGTTGGACAAAACGGGATTAGATGTCAAATCTGTCCTGAGTATCATCAGTAGATCGATCTTCTCGTTCCGTCTGGGTGCTGACTTATCGCTTTCTTTCTGAATTGCCAATCTTGAACCATAGCAGCGAGCAATATGATTTTGGTACATGGACTAAATCGATACGTGTAGTTTTCTGGATAGGATGAAAGTGTAGGGCCCGTAATGAGTCCAGTAGATGCACGGGAGGTAGCATGCATACATATATATAGAAAGAAGGATGGTGGTAGTTAATTCCGTCATAAGACGTCACTCAGGATGAAATAAGCACATGTCGCAGGAATATATAGTCCTATCAGCCAAGTGGTGTCATGTTATCTTAGATTATAAATTGCGCTCGTGATTCGGTAGGAATATACGTGTCTAATGTACATGTATAGATGTATCAAAGGACCCGAATCCTAAAAACTACATGTAAAAATGAAAATGAAAACGAAATCAACATGTTTATTCAACTCCCGCAGACAATCATCTCATGCTCGAGCGCTCATGATACCGTCAATTCGAATCTCGATTGATACATCTTATATTTCGCAGTTGTGCAAGCTAGGTTCATTTGATCTCGAGAACCGCCCCCCCCCCCCCCCCCAAAACTTTACGATTCTTCAGTCGATCAGGCTATTCATCGATTCTAGCACCAGTTATACAGATATAGGGGCTGCCCAAAAAATTTCACAGTCGTTGATAGAAAAAAACAGATATAATTAGTCACTTCAAAATATCTTCATAAGCTTAAATCCCTCTACAGGTCAATACATGTACATGTAGTTAACTGAGACTACCCGTCTAGATCTATACGGGGGGCTATTATATAATGTAAGACTTTGCAACTCTAGGTATAGTAAGTTGCAAATTCGTTTTGCATTAGCAAGGATTTTGAATCATTAGAAATCACTCGAATATCTAACATTTGTTTCTCTTATGAAACCCTTGGCTTTTCTACAAGAGAGAACATGTGCCGGATTACCGACTGCGATTTGGTTACAAACACATGTACATACATGTACTATACATGTAGGTAATGCCTATACCTGCGTACATTAGTGCTATCTTAGTCAATTTTTTAAAGTTAATTGACTGATTTAGAGTTTAGAGACTGCAATGTACACGTACATTAGACCAGCGAATACCCAATATGAATTCTCGGATCTTTAGGATCAAACTCCCAGTATCACACGCATTACTATAGCTTCTTCCCCTCTTTTATATAGCAACTCGAATCACGATCTCATCACCAGTCAATCTTTGCTGAACTGGTAATATTTTACCTCCTACCCACATACCCACTCCATAGTATCACACTGCTTCTACTCAGTACGTTAGTAGCGATAGAAACACGGTCTTAGGGGTAGGTAAATCAATAAAATACCCTCGGAAAGGACATGTACTGTTTAGTCTCTCAAGGAACTCTATATGAGGCATGTATGTCCATGTTCATTGACACGTCACGATAAGTACGTAGAATACCTTTCAAAGCATGTGAAGCTCTGCATACAAGGTATGGCCACAGAACACTTTCATACTGATACTTCCCATACTGGAGCATGAGGGGCGGGAAGCTGAGCGGAAGTGAGCCTAAACTTCTTCCGAGATATATCTGGCATACGCGCGTACACTGACGATTCAACAGCCTCCGATAGTCCCCCGACAACCGCCCGTACCTCATTTTTTACAAATAACTTTCTGAAACCTTTGAATTCAGCTAGACGGCATTTCTTCCACTACAGGGCCATGGTTGATTATGGTCACGTCAGTTTATATCCTATATTGGGGGACTAACACCCAGATCATCAAAAAGACCAGCAGGTGGCCTAGGCTGGCCAACCAGGAATGATTTACAATGCTGAAGCTTCTCCTGAGTGGTTCATGCCAATTATCAGGGAAGCTCAAAAACCACCAATCCGCTAAGATTTCTAAAGGCTCGAGGGATAATCACATCTAGATCTGATCCACGTAGGTAGGGTGCAATCCGATTTTATGTGGCCATACGTACGTGTTGTTTCATACCAGGCCGTCTTCTGATGATAAGTATTGAAACCTACTAAATAATGTATACAAATACTTATCTACGTCATCATATATCTACATGTAATATTGAACAACGTGATAATAACGTGTGGTGCTACTCCGCTTTCCCACTGCCACGTTATGGTGCTGATCTTCAGTTGCCTTTAGTCACTCGCTTATTTCCCCGGATCGTCCAGATATATCCCTCAACGGCTCCGCGGAACCAAACTTCGAACTCGGGAGCTAGGATATCATCGACTAGGTTTCCACGGCCAGATAACAAAACAAAACCGACTACAGGGAGCTCGAAATTGGTATTCTACGATCTCGATATATTAAACGGTGCTATAAAAACTTCTGACAATATTCGAATGGCCTAGGTCAATTGATCAAAGATGACCCTTGCTGATATCATGATATAGCAGCCGGCAGGCAGCAGGTAATGGCAGGGTACGTAAGTCTAAGACTCTTTCTAGTACACCCACCTCGAATCTATGCTGCAATAAACCCTCTGTATTCACGGCCCTTAAAACTACTTGGTGGATTCATTACAAATGGCATAACTAGAGATTGAGGTCTAGATATCCAACTTAAATTTCTAAGCCGGGGTAAACGTGTTTAGGGACGGAAAAAATCATTTGGATGACCGGAGACTTCCTTGCGATAGAGTTGGACAGACAACTGTATTTCAAATCCCAGAGACCACAGTACGTATACAATGTACGCAATGGGCCTTTTCTTTCAAGGATATATCGACATGGAACGCAATTATATAAGAATAATTCGGAGAAAATACAATCCCTGATCATTGACACAGTTATCTAAGTCGAAAATATCAGATCTACGCCGCATGCGAATAATCAAATAGGAAAACCTCGCTCAGTATTCCGTAGGTCAGGGAGGATCCGCGTACAGTGGGGTTGGTGACTTGATTCACGAGAAGAGGATTTTCGAGACCTGCAGAGGCTATGATAACAATAATTGGGCTCGGCAAAAAAAACATTTGCGCAGAAATTCACGGAACTCAGGGCAAAACCTCTTTTGGTCTACCCCACAAAACTGAAAGTCAACCTCCACATTATGCTAGTAAAGTCGAAACATG